TGTTCCCGTCGGTTTTGCACGCTTAATCCAGCGCCTCTGCATCCCCGCCGTTCGCACGGAACCGTTGACAGTTTCTGCCGGACTCAGTTAAGACCCATCCCCAGTACTGCTGCTGAAACCCGTAAGTGTCGGAAATGAACCCACCACGTAAAAACTTGGTCGCCTGCAGGTTGCCCCCCGAAAGAACCGGTGTTTCTAGCACGCCCACCCGGTCACCATTTTTTTCGTGCGGTTAACCACCCGAGCCATCCACCCACAAGAGGTGCTTTTTCGGCGTGGAACCCAGTACTTATGGGTCTTCCGAGACCGATTTTCATGGACCCCTAGCGCGCATCGACGCCGCAGATCTCGCAGCGAACCTCCCCCAGACTGCTTCGAAGTACACCGTAAAACGTTTAAACAGCTGGCGAGCAGACGCTCACCCGTCTCCCACCGTCGAAATTGCACCCGAAAATCGTGGTTGAGGAATCGAGCCCCGAAGTATTTTCTGCCTTGTAGCCCCGACATTTCCGCCGATAACCCTGGTACTCCGACGTTCACCCATCTTCATACTTGTCGGAATTACTTAGCAAATCCCAGGCATCCTTGGCAATACACCCCTCGCCGTGCCTCCATGTAACGATATCAAACCCTTTCGGGGGTCTACCGAATAGACTCCGAAATTCGCGGTGGAGTGGTGTACGGGCTCCGCCTATCACTCAAGTTGCTTGAAACGGCACCCACAACTTTCCCTCCTTTTTTGATTTTCACCCCCGACAATTTCGCATGCCGCCGTTCACCCAGCGTCCGCTTTTGTCGGATGAGGCATTCTTCGTGTTGACCCGCGATTTTTCTGGCGTTCGATGAAGGCGCGAACGCAATCGTAGTCGGAGCGAGTTTATCATATCAAACTCTCAGCCGGCCGCTTCGCTGCCCACCGTGCCTATCGCCTTAAAACTCCACAACTTCGGGACTCCGTCTTCGCTGCTACACTGCTGTTGGGTAGACCGTTGAATCCGGAGAAATTCCGACAGCTGCCACAATGTCTTCGGTCCCAATATTTTCGGCAGGATAACTGTCGCCGATGGTCCAATTTTGTCGGGGCCGAACAGTGCCGCATCCTTGAAATTTGTTCTTGAACGCCCTGCCGTCGAACCAGCGTCACCCGCGCCTTTCTAACCAGCACAGGGCTAAACACAGGGCCCCACCTTTGTATCCAGTAGCCAACAGGACTTACGAATTGCCTTCGAGGCTTTTCTGGGCGTGGGGTATGCGAAACGTCGGTGGACTTTGGCCGGTAGGGAGCTCCTTCTGCTACCGCCGCTTAGCCGCAAAACTCGGCCTCAGCAAAAAGTCGTCGCAGTAGGTCGTTTTCTCCCCTCCTGAAGCTCGGAATCCGTTTCTCTCGCCAGACCCGTATTTGTCGCAACTCCGTTTATTGTAGCCGGTAGACCAGGCGAAATTCGCGTGTCTAGACGCTGCGCCAAAACGTTGTCCCGTCGGTGTACTGCCCCGTCTGCAGCACAACTTCCCTTGATCAGGGGGAACCTGTGCCGCCTGAAGTACAGTGTCGGCTGCTGCTGTTGCTCCGAAAATTTCGGCCGAAGTTGTTGAAGGCGCAGAAGTGACCCTAACGTTGACAGTCTAGTCGTAGGCGGCCTTTTCCGCACTTTTCGGTGGTTTGAAAATGACTTCCGTCCCACACTGTGCCGCTCCTGCCGAAAACTGTTAGAATGAACAAGTGTGTTTGGACTAGAAAGGAATGAGAGTACAAATATGAAACCCTAGAGTTGTGACCCCCCTATAGACTAATTCACTATAGCCTACACAAATATAACATGTATAATGTTTGACAAAAACGCCAACGACGCACCCTCCTGTAGCCACACCGGCCACACCCGGGCTGGACGACGGTAGACCCCCGCTTTCTTCGGGCAGTCGTCACGCTGTCACTCCGCGCTGTTGCATTTTCTGACGCAAATCACACATTGCGCCTGGCTGCTCAACCAGCAGTCGTTTCCACGTGCTGCTACCCGAAATCTTCGCGCACAGTGACGACGCGCCACTTGCCGAAGACCTCCAGCGAACTCATGCGCATCGTGACGAAGAGGCTTGACGCCACTTGCTGCATGCAGTCCCCTCCGAGATTGTCGCGCAGTTGTTGGCCTCGTGCCGACGCAACTCGCACGACGACTTTTCTTCCGACAGTTTCGGACGTGCGTTGACGACGATCCTGCCGACGCCAACTGTCACACAGTATCAGCTCCGAAACTGACGAAAACACCACGATTAACTCACGCATTAATTGCGACGACAGCAAAAGCTGTCCGCCATTCGGGGGGGGGGGGGGGGGGGGGGGGGGGAGGCCACGGTCGATCTTGACCGTCGAGGGCAAGGATCCGTCGGTGCAGCAGGAGCGCCCGTAAAAACATGGCCGCTAGGAGCAACTATCCGTTCTAATGGCCGGCTCCTGCGCTGCTCCTGTCACTACGGCATCCTTCCTTGTCCCCCCCTCGAGGGGTAATACACTCTAAAAAACGGGGAAGCTAGGAAAGTAGCTCTGATACCAAGTGTTATGAGTTTTACTAGACAACGTGCGCGGAAGACTTCTATAAAGAGAATGAATTACATAATGTCGAGAATGATAAAAAAGCATGCATTTATAGGGTCGAAACGTGCTAGGCGAGAACCTCGTGACGTGCGAGGTTTGGATGTATCGCGATTGGTGCGGGGCGACTCGGCGCTGGTTCGGTACGAAAGTGTAGGCCGAGCCTTCCTGACGCGAAGTGCTCGGGCTGTCCTCGCTAGGAGCGCCCTCTACAGTAATGAATGTATATTCATTACAGGGAACCTCGTGATGTGCGAGGGTTGGATGAGTCGCGATTAGTGGGGGGCAACTCGGCGCTGGTTCAGTACGATAGTTTAGGCCGAGCCACCCTGACGCGAAGTGCTCGGGCTGTCCTCGCTAGGAGCAGCCTCTACAGTAATGAATTGTATATTCATTACATACTCAGATGTTGAAGAAAGTAGTAAGGAAGTGGTTTTCAAAGTTAACCTATTTTCACCGTGACGGAAAGAAGTTGACCGTAGAGAGCGCACATAAAGCTGTACAACCTGACCTCACCCTAACGAGATTGTAAGACAGATTTTCATCGGTATGCAATGTCGGAATTGCATCGAGTTACTCCACAATCTAGATTCTAGAAACCGACTGGTCCACCACAATAGCACTGCGAGTGGGCCAGCAGCGCATTTCCGCCGTCGTTCCGCCGCCGCCAGGCCACTGCCACGCGCCTCACATTTCGTGCCTACTCACTATCGCGTCATCTATCGCCGTGTGAAAATGTAGAACTTAATTGCTACTTTGTTGCTCATTTCCAGGGATAGGTGGTTCGTCTCTTAGATTTACGCGTTGCTGGTCGTCGTCATGTCGTACGCTGTCCACGGCACATCCTCCGATTTCTGGCAGCGCAACGACAAGGATTTTGGGAGGTTAAAGCCATACTTAGTCGTCGCGTCCGCTATTCTCGCGCTCGGCCTACCGCTGCTCCTCATTTTCCAGCCAACTAAATCGCTTTTGACGGCCGCTGACCCCGCTGCCGCGTCTGGCGCTTCCGCTTCCGACCCTGCTGCCTCCGCATCCCACGCAGCTGCATCCTCGCTAGAAGCTGGCGTTATTAAAGGCGTTAACATTGCATGGTCGTTATGCCGAGCCGAGGCTGCTTATTGGGTAAGGATTAGTTGCAATGTAAGTTGCACCCGACATCATAGATGGACGGATCAGAGGACGTCGATCAATAGGCGAAATGCTGACAATCCCAGAGGTCAACAAAAACTCAATTGAAAGCCGCGCCCTACCCACTGGGTCCCACTGGCGCAGCAGAATGGCCTTTAACTGAAACAAAGGCTACGGTGCTGCCGCCGCGCACGGCGCTACTGGCCTGGCCGGCCAAGGGGGCTGGAGAGACCTGTGCTGTAGCGAAGAGATAGAACGTTGCAGCGGAAGGAAGCTAGGCTAGAGAAGCCTAGCTCGAAGAAAGTAGACGAGAGGGTTGGGAGTAGAATCTGATATTAGAATAGGAAGATCCAGGATAAGATGATGCAACAGGATTTGAGAAGAGATTTATGCTAGGGAGATAAACGTGGCTCGGAAGGAAAGCCCGCGTCGCCAAGCTTCTAGCATGGCATTGTGGCATAGCGCCTCGATGCCATGTCTTGTTGGATTCTAGTGACTTCTAATAGCTGATGAGGATAACAGAGTAAGCTCCGAGGTTGGCACATAGCTCTATTCGGAGCTACCTAGGCAGTTCCAACCGTTAGGGCATTCCCATGCACGCAGGCATGGCAAATTCTATCTTGTAACATTATTCCCCTCCCAAACATCCAAAGCTTCTTAGAAGTCTAAATCAGATAATATCTACAAAGTTGCCTTCACTCTTGGTCTTCAGTTTTCTTCAAACTCCAGAGAAGAACCTTGGAGTAGAAACCAGGGAGGAGGTAGGCACATCACTGCAGCCCACACTGCAGGCTCTGGCGGTCTCATGCAGCTTCCGACCAGTGGGTGAGAGCTCCCATAGGCTCTTTCATGTGAACAGCCTCAATTAGCCCCATGCCTTCACAGCTATGGCGCTTCTCAAGCAACTCCAGCAATACCGGCCTTGTATGCCTAAGAGAGATTCAGAAAACTGAAAACATTGCCATCTGTGCCGTCTGTGGCAAGTGCAGCTTCCAATCGTACCGCCATTGAAAACACGATTTGCCTGTGCTTTGCTGCTCCCCGAGTTCCCACCCCCCCGACCCCCTTCCCCTCCCCTTCCGTTCTCCAGGCTGATACTATAAGCAAGAAAAGCAGCTTGTAACGGGGGCCATTGGCACGTGGATGCATGGGACCTGCCGTCCCTGCTTTGCTGCTCTCCATTGTTCCACCCCGACCCTCCTTTCCCTCCCCTCCCGCTACCTACCAATTCCCTCAGGCTGACATAGACCGTAGGAGGGCAGCTCAAAAGAGTCATCAGTGCCCCATGGATGCTCACGACGTGCCCTCTAGGCTTTGCTGCTACCCATTTTCCAAGCCCCCTCCCCTGCCCCTCCCTTCCCCTTTGCTTGCCACCCTTCCCGTCTCCTCCCGTCCCCCCTGTCCCTTCCCGTCTCCTCCCGTCCCCCCTGTCCCTTCCCGTCTCCTCCCGTCCCCCCTGTCCCTTCCCGTCTCCTCCCGTCCCCCCTGTCCCTTCCCGTCCCCTCCCATACCCCGCTGTCCCCTCAGGCTGATATAGTATGTAGAAAGGCGGCGCTTTGCTGCTCCCCATTTCCGCCCCATTCCCCCTTGCTCTCCCCCAGGCCAACATAAACAGAAGGAAAGTGGCTCATGACGGGGAGCAGTGGCCCGTGGACGCACATGACCTGCCGTCGCTGCTGCTGTCTGTGCTCATGCCCACTTACCCGTGCCCGGCAGAGGAGAGAGTGGGCGCATGGGGAGATGGCGGCAAGGTAGGAGATTAGGGCAGTGGGGGAATTAGGGATTGGGGGGTGGGACATGATGGTATGGAGGTATGGGGGGATGGGGGTACGTGGCAATGGGAATAGGGAATGGGGGGATGGGAACATGGGGGGAAGGGATTATGAGGGAAAGCGGGGTAGTTGTAAGCGAGGGAAGGTGGCGAAAGCTGGTAGGGGAAGCAGTAATGAGGAGGAAGGGTTCTATGTATTCATTCATTGTTTCTTTCTGGGAAGCGACTTATTTGCAGGGGTGATTGTGTTTGTCCCCTTGTCACCACCACACCCCTCTGTCCCGTCTTCTTCCCCCTACTTGCTGCACCCCACCTTGCTCTCCACTGCAATATTTGTGCCTCCTGCCATCTCACTCTTTCCCTCCTCCTTTCTCGCCCATGCCTCTTTCCCGGCCTCCTATTCCATCTCTTCTGCCCTCCTCCTCTCGTTCCAACCCTCTCTCTTCACTGCAGTGGGTGTGTGAGCTGCCATTAACCATTCCCCTCTCTTCCTCCTCTCCCTCCCCTGCCTCTCCCCCTGCCTCCCCCCCACCTCCCCACTGTCCTCCCCCTCTACCTCCAATTCTTGCTCTCCACTGCACTGCAGTGGGTGTGCCTTCTTCCATTCAACCCTCTCCTTCTCTTCCTCCTCTCCCCTTCCCTGCCCTCCCCTCCCTCTCCCCTCACTCTCCTCCCCTGCCTCCATCCCACCGTGCCCTCCACTGCAGTGGGTGTGCATGCTGCCAACTGCGATTCAAGAAAACCCTATAGTGTACAGGTAAGCAGTGTGAGTTGTTCGTTCAAAACCAAGTGCCAACTCATAGATCACATCAATCCACCCCTCACGTCTGTTACATACTCTCTTTTTGGATGGGTGCGTGTGCTGGTTATCCCATGTGCGTGTGTCGCCCAGCCCTGCTATGTTTAGCTGGCACATGCCATGCCTGATTCTGGCATGCTTATGTTTCAAAACTACCCCATGCTCGTTAGACCTTCCCCGCACGGAAGTTTGTTCTTGAGGTGCCCCAAAACCACACCATGCCTTCCATCCCTATACGCTCCCCCCCTCTTCCCACCACTCCCTCAGTTCCCCCCCCTCCCTTCACCCGCTCCCTCTTCCTTCCCAGTGTGGGCAGCAACGAGCAGTATGACTTTGAGCAAGCCATCGGCGCTGCGCTGCACACCAAGCCATTCACCTTCGACCCTTTCCTCTCCCCCAACGCCTCCCAGCGCATGCACGCCCTCCCCTTCCTCCACTTCCACGAAATCGCCGTCGCGGGCGCAGCAAGCTTGGAGGATTTCCGGGCGAAGAACCCCGGCATCACGTTCATGACTCTGCAGGGGGCGATGGAGAAGCTAGGGCACTCGTATGTGGATGTGCTGAAGATGGACTGTGAGGGTTGTGAGGAGGAGTTTATCATGGGCCTGAAGAGGGAGACGGATGCGTTTCTGGAGAGGAGGAGGGCGGAGGGAGGGGTTTGGACAGAGGATGAGAAGGCGGGGAAGCGGCGGGGGAGGGGCGATGCAAAGCTGGTGGTGAATGGGGGGAACCTGCCATTCGGACAGCTGCAGGTGGAGTTCCACTAGTGAGTCCTTGCCACTAGTGAGTCCTTGCCACTAGTGAGTCCTTGCCACTAGTGAGTCCTTGCCACTAGTGAGTCCTTGCCACTAGTGAGTCCTTGCCACTAGTGAGTCGTTGCCACTAGTGAGTCCTTGCCACTAGTGAGTCGTTCCCACTAGTGAGTCCTTGCCACTAGTGATTCTTTGCCACTAGTGAGTCCTTGCCACTAGTGATTCTTTGCCACTAGTGAGTCCTTGCCACTAGTGATTCTTTGCCACTAGTGATTCTTTGCCACTAGTGAGTCCTTGCCACTAGTGATTCTTTGCCACTAGTGAGTCCGTATATGCTGGAAGGTATGGGGTACCGCATGTTGCATGTGGAGCCTGCGTTTCACATCACCCATCTTGCCTTCCTCCCCTTACCACAGCATGCACAAGCCCCAGCAGTCGCTGCCCTATCTGTACGCCATGGAGGGCATGGGGTACCGCATGTTCCATGTGGAGCCCAACCCGCTGTGCTACTCATGCATCGAGGTGGCGTTCGTGCACGAGGACTTGGTGTTCCCTCCCTTGAGCCTTGACTGCGGGTCACTTCTGAGGCGGTCTGAGGTTTCAGAGTATGTGGCACGGTGGCTGCCTCTAGGGGGATGGGGATGGGAAGGGGGAGGGGATGGGGACGGGGATACGGGGAGTTGGAGGGGAGGAGGGGGTTGAGAGCAGCAGCATAGGCTCTATTGGTGATGATGATTGCAGTGGTGGTGATAGGTCACCCCAACCCCACCCCAAACCCATTGTGCCCCATGTTGCTGGTGCCTCCTTTGAGGCTTGAGCCTTGATGGTGATGGTGGTGATGACTAAGATGGTGCGTAAGCACCTCATAACTGCATTGACAAAACGTACCGGTACCACAAGTTCAATCACGGTTCTTCCATTGTGGAATCACTCCATGTTTAGATGTTGTAGTGTTTGTGAACTATGGATGGAACCGTAATCTCCCGGATACAGTACCCCCCCGCGGAGAAGACCTTGGGTCCTCTTTCCGGACCAAGGGTCTTTTATTCCGACCTGTTCTCGTGAGGACCCCCCTTTTTTAAATAAATATTTTAAGACCCCCCTCCTTCGTCAAATTTTCAAATTAATGTTATATTCTTAACGAATCTGGGGGGTTGGTGATGCTCGGCTGACTCGTCATCAGGCACAAAACGGTGACGCGAGACAGTTTCGCGTCGAATTCCAGTCAGGATTCGATTTTGCGTGGATTTTACTGTTGAGATTCGAATCCGCGTCAGGGGAAGAATTCAACACCCTCGGTAAAAGCTTGACTTTCCAGTGCTATGAGTGAATACATTGTGCTCTATGAATTCTTAATGTGTTCAGGGGTCTTAGTAAATATGCCCCTTGGTATTGTTCACCTAATCATTATTCACAACATTTCTGATAAGACCCCCGGGTCCTATATACGGGAGATTACGGAATGTCAACTGCCCAGGTGTGGAAGGAGATTGCTGTGTGTGTGCCAGCAGTGGCGGGCAACAAAGGTAGGTCCGTTGGAGGTGCCGTAGGACCTTACACCGAGGTTGATAAGAGAAACGGCATCGTTGCATGCTTGTTTCGTCCGTTCTTCTTCGGCACTAGCTAATGGCGTTGTTCGTTAACAAAGTTGGTGTTAGAATACTAGCTAAGGCTAAGAAGCCATGGCTAGGGTTTAGGGTACACGAAAGAGAAACAGAAGAGAAGTTTGCACTAGCAGCAGGTAGGATACATATAGGAAACCCTAGTTTGGGTTGTACTCACTATAGAGTACCCCACTGCAGGCTAGACAAACATAACATTCTGACACACCCCCATAGTCAAAGTCAGGTATAATCAGCACACCAGGCAAGCATAGCAATGGTTCACAATGATAAGCAAAGCTAGAGACTATCACAGAGGGCAAGTGAGGAGGAGGAGAAACTGTGGGGGCGAGAAGATGGGAGGCGACGGCTGAAGCTGCAGACACACGGGCAGCAGGAGTGCGCAGCACTGTCGCTACCAGGCTAAACCCGGACTACACGGCGACAGGCGCAGCTGGCTCGCTGTGTCAGAGGTCCACTGGAGATCCCCGATGATCCTAGGGAAGGGTTACAGGCATGTTGGCCTGGGGGGTTATGGGCGCACTCACCCGCTACACAAACAAGCCCTTTTATCCCAGTGGTTAGTGGCTGGGATTCTGACACGGTATCAGAGCGAAGGTCTCGAGTTCGAATCCCGGTGTGTGCACCTCGGGCATCCCAGTGCGGGGGGGTGTCAGAGGTCCACTGGAGATCCCCGATGATCCTAGGGAAGGGTTACAGGCATGTTGGCCTGGGGGGTTATGGGCGCACTCACCCGCTACACAAACAAGCCCTTTTATCCCAGTGGTTAGTGGCTGGGATTCTGACACGCTGTGCTCCCAGGAGTGCTCACACTGTGGCTACCGGGCGCAGAGCCCCGGACTACTCAGGCCACAGGGGGTCGTGGCTCTCTGGACTACCAGGAGTGCTCACACTGTGGCTACCGGGCGCAGAGCCCCAGACTACTCAGGCCACAGGGGGTCGTGGCTCTCTGGACTTCAGGCGCTGCGGACGACAAGACGGCTGCCTCCACTCAACTTCCCCCAGCTGTCCCACACCCCTTTCACACACTCCCTGCTGTACCCCTAGCAGTGCTCACACGCCACCCTCCTCGTACCACTCCGACGGCTCCAACACATCCACCCCCAACAGCGGCAGCTGCAGCAGTGGGAGACGGAGGAGGAGGAGGAGCCGGGGACGGCTCACACACCCGGCACCCCCATACTCTCCACCCCCAAACCCTAACACAGGAGCGCGGGCAGCAGCGGGGGTGGGGCGCGGTCAGAAGCTCGGGAGGCGGCGTGCGGCACTGGGGCAGACTGTACGGGCCGCGCACGGGCCTGGCACAGGCCTCACGAACCGCGCGTGGGCTGCCCGGGCCGCGCGCGGGCCTGGCGCAAACCGTACGGGCCGCGCGAGGGCTTGGCGCAGCCCGTACGGGCCGCGCGCGGGCCTGGCGCAGGCCGTACGGGCCGCGCGCGGGCTTGGCGCAGCCCGTACGGGCCGCGCGCGGGCCTGGCGCAGGTCGCGCGGGCCGCGTCGGGTGACGAGGGGTGACAGTTGGCTTGCTCAACGTTAGGCTTGGGCGAGAACACGTCCCACCCATCTGGGTCGAAGGGTTCAAACGAGATCTTATCGGGCAACACCACAACTAAATGGCTTTCTTGGATTTTGACATGGGCTAGGGTTGAATACCCTTTTTGGGACCATAATGTCATGGTAGTATGCCCTCTTTGCCTTGATGGCTCGGTTGTTCATTCTGAACAAGGTCACGGATGAAAAAGTGGCAAAGTTTGATGTCCTTGGTATGAGTGTGATGTACGAGATCTTGGGAGAGGTGGATGGTACTCTTGTTGTCACACCACAGGGTGGGGGTTGGCTGAGGGTAGCCAAGCTCCTGGAGGAGGAAGGAGAGCCAACGGGCCTCTTGAGCCGTCATGGTGCCAGCCAGGCCCTCAGATATCAGGAAAAAAACCCTGAAATTCCTGATTTTCAGGGTAAATTTTTGTACCTACACTGATTTTTCAGTGTTCAAAAATTAGAAGGACTGATTTTTCAGCCTTTTTTTCTCCAAGGGGACTGATTTTCCAGTCTTTTATTGAAGTGTACACTGAATGCACATTCCGAATCCCTGCTATAAAACACCCGAGATGCCTAGGTGTGAACCATTCCTTCAATCTTATCTCAAAAGGCTTAAAAAAATTGTCGGAGTTCATCGCGTAGTGTCTTAGTTGTAAGGAATTGCTACGAAGTGTGAGATCTCCAGTTCGAGTCTCACGCTGTAAGGTTTTGTAAGACTTCATGAGGGTGAAAATCAGACTTTAATTTTAGGACACTCTGAAAATTCAGACTTTTTTTCAGATGGAACACTGATTTTCAGCCTTTTTCACATAGGGACCCTGATACCCTGACGTCCCTAAAATTGAATCTGAGGGCCTGGTGCCAGCGTAAAGCTCTGCCTCACAAGAGGAGAGGGAAACGGCTAATGACCTGGTAGAGCTCCAGCTAACAATACCACTGCCAAGAGTGGAGCAGTAGCTCTGGGAGGAGCATCGGTCGGTCTTGTCTTTGCCCAAAAGGAGTCAGTGTCGCCTTCTAGTCGCGAACGAGAGAGAGCCCACCAAGTGTGAGTACATGAGACTTGGTTCCCTGCAGTGCAGATAACGCAGCACCCGCTTCGCCGCCTTCTAGTGGACATCCATGAAGCGCCCTAGGGCCACATAGCAAGGGAGGACACTAACAGGGTTTGCCAGGTCAGGCAGTGTGCACATCATGGCGTACATGAGGGACCCAACTAGCTCTAGGTATGGCTCGGAGCAGACCTTTGATGTTGGAATAGCTGGGGCTGTGAGGAGGTGCTGCAGTGGTAGCGGCGGAGATAAAGTACCATTTTCAATGAATGTTTTCACTCCACTTCTTTCAGACCTTCGTGCCCACCCTCAAGATGACCACTCTTTGGGTGTTACTGCACGTAGCAGCACAGAGAGACTACGAGCTACACTCTCTTGACTTCAAAATTGCCTTCCTCCAGGGCAGCCTACACGAGGAGATCTGGCTGCGTCGTCCTCCGGGCTTCACTGGCACCTTCCCGCCTGGGACCCAGTGGAGCCTCAGATGACCGGCCTACGGTCTCCGCCAGGCACCCCGTGAGTGGCACGACACTCTCCGCTCTACTCTGTCCGACCTCGGGTTTGAGCCGTCTTTCGCTGACCCGTCGCTGTTTGTTCGTCGTGGGCGCACACCTTTCTTCGTTCCTGTCTACGTTGATGACCTGGTTTTTGCCACAGCAGACACTGTTGCACTGGCGGAGGTAAAGTCCGAACTGCAGAAGATACTCACCTGCACTGACCTTGGGGAACTGCGCCGCTACCTTGGCCTGCAGATCTCCAGGGACAGAGCCGCTCGCACCATCACTCTGACTCAGTCACACATGGTGCAGCAGGTCCTTCAGCGGTTCGGGCTTCAGCACTCTTCTCCTACACCCACCCCTCTTGCTGTAGACCACAGACTCACTGGGCCTTTTCCTGACGAGCCGTTCGAGCCCAGTGGTCCCTACGCAGAGCTGGTGGGCTGCCTCATGTACCTGATGACGTGTACTCGCCCGGACCTCGCCTTCCCTCTTAGCATCCTTTCTCGCTTTGTTGCGACTGGGAGACACTGTCCCAATCACTGGACAGCGGCTAAGAGGGTGGCGAAGTACCTCGGCGCGACATCAGACATGGGGCTTGTACTTGGAGGGACACAGCCAGTTGTACTCACCGGACACTGCAACTCCTCCTACGCCGACGACGTTGAGACTCAGAGGTCTACGCAGGGTTACTGTTTCAGCCTGGGCGACGGAACTGTTTCCTGGAGGTCTACTCGGTCCTCCTCTGTTGCGACTTCTACCGCAGAGGCCGAGATCTACGCTGGAGCCCTTGCTGCACAGGAGCTACGCTGGTTGACCTTCTTGCTCACTGACCTTGGTGAGCGGCCGAGCTCTGCACCGACCTTGTTTGCTGACAACAAGGCGATGATTCTCCTGTGTCGTGAGCCTCGACTGGAGAGCAGAGTGAAGCACATCGACGTCAGGTACTTCCTCCTTCGAGAGTTGCAGAGACGCGGACAGGCTCGTCTGGACTTTGTGGCCTCCGAGGCCAACACTGCAGACATCTTCATCAAGGCCCTTCAGCCTTGTGATCACCGCCTGATTTTTCTGCAGTTAAGCCTCGTTGAGACTGGGTCTAGTAGACTGCAG